ACTCTCAGTTTAGGACCCACCCAAATGCACCTCCAAGATATTCCCAGACTTGGACTCCTTAATCCCTCAGCCTGTGATCTGCTGCTTTTGATATAGCCTCTGAGATTCCCCTGGGCTTTAAGCCCCCCAATTCACCCCATTGATATGTTCATCAGGGACCCCCAAATCCACTTCCATAACCTGTACCTCTCCAAGGAGCTTGCACCAGAATCCTCCAACCCTCTCCCAGAACCTTTCCATGAGTGTTCCAGCCGCTAGGTCTACCCTCATAATCTATCCCCTGTTTCTAATGCCTGTAAACATACGAGCCTCCAGAACCCACTTCCCAAGACATCCCTGGTTGTGAGCATCCCAAATCCACCTCCTGGCTGGTTTCTCCTTTCTGATTACCCAGTTATCCAACACCCTGATGTTCTGAGTACCCCCAAAGTCCTCCTCCTCACAGTACCAAACTCCCACATCCACCCCAAAGATTCATGTTCTGTTCCTCAAGGGTGTTCCCTATAATGGCCCCCGGAAAGACCTCCAGTATCCACAGCCCATTTCCAAAGTTTCACCCTCCCCCAAAACCCTACCCCCGAGCTTGATTTGTTCCCCAGAATTCTTCCTTCCATCCAGAGCCCATTCTCTACATCTGCACCTTGAAGAACACCATGTTCTGAGACCCCCAAAGCCTCAGTTTAGCCCCTACTGCTCTCAGCCACACCCCTTGCCCTAAGTCTGCTCCAGAAATACACTTGCATGGCCTACCTCACAGTGTACCTCCTGACTCAATTTCTCAGCCCCCCCAAAGGCTCCAGCTTCCAGGATCATCCTGTGGTGACCCCACTAATGCCCTACGCCATCCCCTGTGTTCTGACCCTTGGAGACCCTCTCCCAGGGATGCCCCATGATAAACATCCAGTATATCCTATCCTGGGGTTTCAAATTCACCAGAACCCACCCCCAGGACCAGTCCTTGGGCCCTATCCCATTAGTTGAGACAACAATAGGCAGTATTGTCCCTCGTTGGTTCTCGTCAGTCTCATGAGAAAAAATTCCAACAAGTAACAGCAGCATTGTAGTGAAGTGATTTATTAAATAAATAAATAATTTATTTGTGGAGGACATCATCTTGGCCTTGCTATGCACCTTTCTGTCCTGCTGGGTCCTGTGGGAGCAGTGAGAGAAGCATGGGCCCCATATCGTGTACTATAAAAGTATGATTTAAGGAGATGTGTGTGTGCCAAGTTGACAAAGGGTGGACTTGTGATGGTTAATTTTATTTGTCTACTTGGCTAGGCTAGGTGTTCATATGTCTGATAAAATGCCAGTCTAGATGTTGCTGAGAAGGTATTTTTTAGATGAGATTAACATTTAAATCAGTAGACTTTGAGTAAAATGAATTATCCCCCACATTGTGGGTGAGCCTCATCTGATCAGTTGAAGACTCTAATAGAACGAAGACTGACCTCACTCAAGGAAGGAGGACTTCTGCCAGCAGATGGCCTTTGGACTCCAATAGCAATTCTTCCTGGCCTCCAGCCTGCCAGCCTATTCTGAAGATTTTGAACTTGTCAACCTCCACAATCATGTGGCCAATTTTTAAAAAAGTAAATCTTTCTTTACATATGCATCTTATTGTTTCTGTTTCTCTGGAGAACCCTGAGTAACATACATGCCAAGTTCCCCTCCGACCTCAGGATCATTGCACCTGATATTCTGTCTTATCAGAATGCTCCTTCCCACCTCCCATCTTTTCAAAGGTAGCCATCTTCTCACTATGACACAAAGCTCAGATGCCATAAAAGAAATGACTAAAACAGGTCACTTCATATAAACATCAAAAGAAAATCTACAAGGTTAAAAAAAAGTCACCCTGAACAAAGTCAAGACAAATGACAGAGTAAACTATAACTCATAACATAAAGGCATAATGTCCATAATATATAAAGAGCTCTTGGAAACTAAGAAAAATACAACAGTCCATGGAAAAGGTAGCAAAGGATACAAATCTTGAACTCTCAGAGAAAAACAAATGGTTCTTAGTCACAGGAGAAGATTCTCAACCTCATTAGGCAAATATAATCAAAAGGTTTGATAATATCACATTGGTGAGGCCGTGGCACACTCGTACCTTGATGATGAAGAAGGAAATTGGTAGAAATCCTATGCAGGACAAGTTGCAATATCTACTTAAGTGACAAATGCACATACCTTTGGACCCAGCTATCACACCTCCAGGAATTTCTCCTTCAGATACCGTCACTCCCATGCGAAGTGCCCTAAGCGACGTTTTCCAGTGTGCACTGCAGCGCACACAATAGCGTTCTGCGTTCCCAGCGTTCTGCGCCGATCCACGAGAAAGGGTTAAGTAAATTGTATACAGACATCGAGGAACACTACGCAGCCATAAAAAACAACAGCGAGCTGTGTTCCCTGACATGGAGTGATCTCCAAGACACATTTCAAGTTAAAAAATGAAGTTCCAGATAGTGTGTTATCATTTATGTAAAAATAGGAATAAATACATATGTAGATATTTTCTTGAAAATGCCTAGAATATCTCTGGAAGGGCTCACAAGAAACCTGAATAGTGGTTGCTTCTAGAATAATTTCCCAAGTCTGATTTCATTATGATACCCTAAGGGGTAATGATTTTTAGACATTTCTATTAATCGGCCCCCATGAACATTTAATACCACAGATCTACTGTATACCTGTTTATATGTTCTATGTATATCTGCACTTTATACATAAAAACAGGCTTTTTTTTTGCCTACCCCCAGAACCAATTTTCACCCCTTTGGGTGTGGTATCACTTCCATTGAGGACTGATGCTATTGAGGGGTCACCAGGGGCCTGGTCATCGAGGTGGGAAGGAGATTCTTACTGCCTGCCCTTTGAGCTATTAGAATTTTGTTAATGCATTTTTAAAAATAAAGATGTTTAAGTTCCTTTGTCACCCAGCCAGGCAGCTCTGTTTTCTTTTCTCTCCCTAGCTGTGCTCACCTGACTTCTGTTTGATTCTTTGTCAATAGGTGGTGTCACCTGTCTCCACCATGAGTTTGGGAGAGCAGGGCCCCCGTGTGTATCATTCACCTGGCACACACTCATGCCCAATAAATGTTGGCTGAGTGACTGAATGAATGAGCCGCAACATTGGCTGAGCTGAGAGGAATCCTCCCAATAGGGACCCCTCTCCTTCTCTTCTTCTTGACATTGGAGCCAGATAAGGCTGGATTTGAGTCACACTCCTTCACATGCTGTGTGACCTTGGATGAGTGACCTGACCTCTCTGAGCTTGCTTAACACACTTGTAAAGTGGCGGTGATGTAAGTGCTCACTTTAGGGGGCGCTGTATAAGGATTGAGTAAGATCACACAGGCCCTCCAGGAAGCATGGGAGGACACATCTCAAACTGCCCTTGGCTTTGGGACTGTGGTGGGAGGAGGGAGGGATTTCACATCTACTCAGTATATTAATGTATTTATTATTTGAATGTTTCACAATGTGAGTGCCTCCATAGAAATAATTTCTTAAAACCATTTTGAGTAATGAATAAAATAGACTTAATGTGCTCAGTATACAGTAAGTGCCAAATAAATGGTGATAAGTTTGCTGTTTCAACTAGAACTTTCAAAAGAGGGACCTCAAGTCATCCAGCCAGTTGCTGCCACTGAGATCCTCTCCCAAGGTTTTGAGCAGAGAGAGGACCCACCAAGTCACCACCTTGACTTCACCCCCATCTCCAGACCTGTTCTTGGGGGGACACAGGAGAGGAAATATTTGGAATAGGCGAGTCATTCCAACTGGCCAATCACAGACCGGGTGGGGATTAGGGTTTGCTGAGTGACACGGGCCCAGAAGTGCAGTGTCAGAGCTTGCCTTCATTTTAAAACTTGAGAGCTTGCTCATCGTGACATTTTTTGCATTAATTTTGATTTTTAAAATATTGTACTGATGCCAGGGGCTGGGGAGGGGTGAATGGGAGAGACAGCCGATGGGAACTGGGTTTCTTTCAGGGATGATGAAGCTCTTCTTGATTTAGACAGAGCTGATGGTGGCACAACCTTGCTGATGTCCTGTCACTGAATCCTAAACTTTCAAAGGGAGAATTGAATGGTATGGAGTCAATCTTGATCCAAATCATCGCGCTGAAATATTATTTACTTTATAAGCCCTGAGATCTAATGCACAGTATGGTGCATGAAAACAATAGTATTGCATTACAGTCACCAAAGTTGCTAAGAGACTAGAGCTTAC